GCTGAGTCACTCGCGGCCCAGTCTCGGCCTGGCCCCGCGGCCCTCCCGGGCTCACCACCGGGCAGGTCCCCGTGCAGATCGAGGCTTCGGGAATAACTCTCCCTTCCTGCAGGATGGCATCGTCCTCGGAGCAGATACAAGAGCTACTGAGGGAATGGTTGTTGCTGACAAGAACTGTTCGAAAATACACTTCATTTCCCCGAATATCTAGTGAGTGTTAGTGTTGTTTGTTGTGTAATAAGTTGTTGATTTTTTACTGTTAACCAAGAACCATCTGGACAGAATCCTGTGCTGTGTGCTCTGGGCTGGCCCTGCTTGAGCAGGGAGGTGGGAGCAGTGACCCACTGGTCCCTTCCAGCCTGACCATTGTGTGATTGTGTACAGTGTTGAGTAATGGTGTTGGTAATGGTTCTGAGATTTTGGCTGTATCTTTTGCTAGCAACAAGTACTGAGGTATGCTTTAAAGCAATGATTTATTAGCAGGGCCTGGGGATTTGTGGTGTTTCATTGGCATTCAAACAGGTTATATTGGTTCATGCTCTGAAAATATTGACTGTATGAAGATTTCCTCAGTTTTACAATGAGAAAATTTGTTGAATAAAGCATAAAGTTGTTCCTTTCCCTTGCCCTGCCCACCTGTTCCTAACCTGCTCATAATGATTTTCAGCTGTTGTGGTGCTGGAACAGCTGCAGACACTGATATGACAACTCAGCTGATCTCCTCCAACCTGGAGCTGCACTCCCTGTCCACAGGACGACTTCCAAGGGTTGTCACAGCCAACAGGATGCTGAAGCAGATGCTGTTCAGGTAACTGAATGTTTCTTGGTTACTCACAGTGCTGTTAAAACCACTGCATAATGCTTAGGGAGCATCCTGCCTCAGCCTCCTCAGCCATTGTAACAAGACTAAAGAAAAATTTCAGAGTTGCTCTTTGCATCATGAGCTTTTGAACTGAGAAATCAGGTCCTTGGTGGTTTGGAGAAGTGATCCCGGAGCAGTGACCATACAGCAGTAATGCAAAGATAATTGTTACCCATGGTAACTGCTCTGCTGTTCCTGGTGGGATGGCTGTGCCACTAACAATGTATTGTGCCTGTACCATTGGGAGCTTCCTGTGGCTTGTAACAGAGTCACTGCCTCAGAACGTGGTTTGTTTTCAAAAGAGATGAACATTGATCTGAAATAAAGCACTGAAAAGCAAACTTTGTGCCACCAGGTTACTGAGCTACATGGCAGCAGCTCAACTCAGTCCCTCAGGGCTGCACTGCTCAGCAGTTTGCCTGTGTCACAAAACAGTGAGTTAAGAAGTTAAAGCAGCCAAGAACATCTCGTGGGGAAATGAAGGAACAAGTTTTCTTTGATGTCTCTAAATACAAATTTAATTGCAGATAAAGAAAGTTCATTAAAGGCTTGAAAAGTACTCTGAGTTCTCTCCCTGTTAGCACAGAGGTATTCCCCAGCCTCCTTGCTTGTCCAGTGCCTGTTTGTTCTGCTGGGCACCAGAATAAACCCTCTTTGAGTAAATTCCTCACTTGGTTGCTCCCAGCTGGCACAAGCCCCATGCCTGTCACAGAGCTGTATGTGGGGTGGTGCTGGCACAGCTCTCAGGGCCTGTGTTAAACAGCAGCACAACTGTGTGGGGTTTCACACTCACAGACCAACATTGCTCCCAGGTACCAAGGCTACATCGGGGCTGCCCTTGTGCTGGGGGGAGTGGACGTGACAGGACCTCACCTGTACAGCATCTACCCCCATGGATCCACTGACAAGCTGCCCTACGTCACCATGGGTGAGTGCTGCCTGGCTGCAGGGAGGGTGGGCAGCTCACACTGCTGTGTCGGGGGTTGTTGAGCTTCCAGTGTTTGCTGGGAGCTGGACAGGCCTCAGACTCCAAAGGTGAAGCTGTACCTGTGTTTATAAGGCAGGTGCACTGTTGGGTTTGTTTACAGACACTGGCTGAGGATGCTATTTAAATCCCAGCTGCCAGGAAACTGGTGTCAGGAACTCTGTGTTTACCACCTGAGAGAACTGTGGGATTCCCAAAAACTTGCTGTGAACACAAGATCCTCAGCAACTTGATTTGCAGATAGTCCTAATTCATGGTTCATGTAAATCTCACCTGGGGGACTCGTGTTTCATTGGGAAGACTCAGGTGATCTGAAATGAGACCTCGTTAGAGTCATGGAGGTGTAATAGAGAGTCCAGATAAATAGACCAGAAAACTGGTCTGCAGATGAAGTGTGTCAGGTTAGTAAACCAGATCCAGCCTGTGCCTGGTGCTGAGTCTGTGACAGGAAAACACCACTTTGATTTTTATTAGTCTTTGTCTATTCCTGGTTGGCATCTCTGGATAAAACACCTCCTTAGGCTGTGCTTGGGGATGCCAAAAGTTTCCCTTTTCCTGCTGGATCGGTGCAGCCGTTGAGCCAAAGGGCTGTGTCGCCCCGGAACGGGCCGTGATGAGCCGCAATTAGCGCGGCTGTGATTAGCGCGGCTGATTAGCGCGGCGGTGGCGGCGCGAGGCCGCGGGGTGGCACCACTTCCCCGGGAACGGCTGTGCTGGCTCTGCCATCCCCATCCCCATCCCTGTCTCGTCATTGTGCCGCGGAGCTCCAAACACACCATCGACTTCTTCCCACTGCCCTACCCCCCCGTGCTGCGGTGAACTGTCAGCTGCAGGGACTTGGTTTCCATGTGCACACGGTTACTTTCCTGCCTGGCTTTTAAAGCTTTAAGATGTGGCGTTTCGGAGAGTCTGGGACACTCCTCCTTCTCTCCACAACAGTAAGGTAGTAGCAGACTAAGTTCAGACGAGTAGGAAGTAGAATATCAATGGCTTAAGTTCACTGTGGTTTAGAGTTGGATTTGCTCTCAGGAGCAGCTCTGTGACTGATGCTTACACATTCCTTTTGGCCACACTGCCAGACAAAGCCCCTCTCAGCAGCAGTGTCCTTTGCCTTTCCGTATCTGCTGCACTGACACTCTTCAGTGGCTGGGGAATATTTTAGTACCAGAATTAGCTTATGCATAGAAATGAATTGAGGCAGCAGAAAAAGTATCAAAAGTCAACTTGGAGACAGCAGTTGGAATTGTAGTTCAGTCTTACTTAGACTGATTTGTTGCTTGGTTTTTGTTTATTTCCCCAAATGTTCTGCAGGCAGTTTATTACATCAGGGTAGGTATTTTGGGCCAGTTAATTTCTGGAAATTCTGTGTGAAATAGGAAAGGGGGTTGAGAAGTTGGGGTTTATTTTGGTGTGCTGGAGTGTGTCTGTGGATGGGCACAGCAGTGTCCTGCCTTGCAGGGGAGATGTAAAAGATATTCAGTGCTTACTCAGGAGCGAGAACATCAAATTAAACTGTTTGTGCTGACAAAGGACAAAATTGGATTTCAGCAAACGGTGCAAGATTGTCTGGTTGCTTGGCTTGTCTAGGAAAGCTTCTGGCCAAGCCTTGTAATGAAATGCATGCATAAAATTAAAGCAGTTGAGTGTGGCTGAGCTCTCAGCAGTCGGTGTGTTCAGCAGTCCCTGGTGGTTGGAGCTGCTCCCCTGGTACCAGTGGTGCTTCGTACCCATAAATCAGCTCTTCATGCACTGGCAGTGTGGAGCTGCAGAGCCAGCACTCCCACTGCTGGGAGGCAGCCCCAGCCAGGAGCCAGCCTGAAAAATGATGCCAATCGATGCGCGGAGCTCTTACCTGGATGAGCAGCAAACTGAATAACAATGAGTGCCCGTGAATAACTGCCCTGTCAGGGAGCCCTGGCAGTGACAGATGGGGAGGGCTAAATGCTGCTCTCTGAAGGCTCTGCACACTCTCGGGGTGGCAGGGTGGGGTGGCAGACAGGTCCTTGGGTGAGGGGAACAGGCTGCACTGAGCAGTGTGGACTTGTCTCTAGTGAATGCTGCTAGAAACATCCAGTTCATCTGTTTTAGAAAAGCTTCTGGAGCTACAGAACACAGTGGAAGTTCTTGTCAGCTGATTTTTTTTGCTCAGTATCAATAATTATCTCTCACTGTAAGTCAGTGCTGAAGTGGTACAAGTGCTGAAGTGAAGCCCAGATGGTATTTGTGAAGTGAATTTATTGCAGTTGCAATAAATTTATTGCAGTTGCATCCAGAAAATTTGATAACTTAGCTGTGACAATTCAGGAGGAGCTGTAACAATCCATGTTACTTAAAGAAGTAGAGAGTAAGTTCTCTTAGGGCTTCATGACTCACCTGGTTTGTGCTAGTCATCAGGCTGAAAGCACTTGCCTCTCAGCACATCTTTGTCGTTTGTTTGGCAGTCACTATTTTGGTATGATTAGAGACTAGGTGAATACTTCGTGAGTATTTGTTCCCACAGTGTAGCTACTGACAGTGTGTGCAAGACAAGTTCTTTGGAACCGAGGTGGCATTTCTGGTGTTTCCAGGGGTGTTTAGTGTCACCATTCCCAGCAGCTGGTGGGTTTTAGAGACGTAGCTGAAAGGCTTTTTTTCTCTGAATGTTATATAATTCAATTAAACTGTGACTTTACCCATTATCTTTTGTTTGAATTATTCTTATTGCTCATACACAAAAGAGAGAGAAACTTGCAACATGCAAGAAAGGAAATCCAACCAAGAAAATGTCCTGTTTCTGCATTGACTGTATGTCAACCTGAGCTTGGAAGCTTACCCAGGATAGACACTGGTTTGGTGTTACTATGGGTCTGACCTCAGTTCCAGACACTCTTTACTGACACATTATTACACAGTTTTCCTCAAGGTTTTAACAGGTTTGAGGTTGAACTGCTGCATCTTAGCAGTGCTGAATCCAAACTGGTGGTGGCTTAAATCAGTGGCTGTGTGTGTGAGGTGGGAAATCCATCCCTAATTAATGGATGGTGTTTGGCCACGTTTGGATTTTATCCTTCTCCAGCCATCATGTTTGGGAGTTGTGAAGCTTGTTCCTGCATGAGGGCAAAGCATGGTTGTCAAAAATGAGTTATTGGTGGGCACTGAGTGCCTGGACCAGAGAGCAGCTGTTTCCCCAGTGCAGACAAGGGCTCCACAGCCCCTAACATCCACGTTTGCTGCGTTTTTGTAGGAGCTGCAATAAGAAAACCATCCTTGCAGTGTTCACTCAAGTTCCCAGGTTTTACTGCCTGCTCTCCCATTACAGTGCAACTTTCCCAAGGCAGCTGAAGTGCTTGGAACGTTGGGGGTTGTTGGGATGTGTGTGGAGTGTGACAAGGAGAGGGCACAGCCTCAGCCCAGCCCAGTGTGCCACAGGTGGGTGTCTGCATGCCAGCAGAGTCTGCCACAGCAGTGCCCAGTGCTGCTGTCAGACAGCAGGTGATTGTTGGGAGGGAGACACTCCAAGGGCACATCCAGTGCTGTGGCAGAAAGCACAGGGCTCACATCTGGTGCTGAGAGGAGCAAGGAATTTTCATTGTGCTGTTTAGGATTACAAAGATCTGTTCTCTCAGGGAATGCTGAACTGTGCTGCGAGGCTCTTGCTAAGGCAGTTGTTAAATGCAAGCTTATAAAGCTTGTGGTTAGGGTTTATAAGCACTAGAGAAAAGAAGCAAACAGGTCTATTTAGCTTTTCCAGCTTCCTGTTCTGTTAGAAGCTCCTTAGGATCTTGGTTTTCAGATGTAAATGTCTACATGTAGATCTAATTAAGTTAAGACTTTCAACAGCTCTTTGAAAACTTACATTACAGGACTGTCTGTATTTATTTATTCAAAGTTGATACTAGGCTTGGCATTTATTTGTGTCTTGGTAACATAGTGAGATAAATAATTAAGTGTAATTCTGTATGTATAAAGGATTTCATGTACTGTAACATAAGGTTCCCTTTTTCTGCCTTTTTCCTTTTCCTCTTTCTTGGAGTCTGCTGAGTTCCTGCCCATAGGTCCTTTGGGGAATTCCTTTGGAAAAGGAGCTGGAGGAGTTAATCCAGCCTGAGCCATGGGTGAGGTTGTGTTGTGGGTAATTTTTATCTGCCAGTAGAAATTTTAAGAATTTCAGACCACTTTTTCCTAGCTCAGTAGCAAATGCAGTAACTTCAGTCAGATACTACCTTTTGTACTTCCATTCTTGCACATCTTTTAGCCTTTGTACTCTGATTTTGTCACAAATAAACCCTTCTCCAAGGGTAGGGCTGTTTTCCAGCTCCCATTCTGCTCCTG